GAGGTTCATCGTACCCGCCTACTGGCCAACTAACCGACGGACTTTCTCGATGGATAGGGGAGCCGGTGTTTTGTTTGTTGTGTTGTTGTTCATGCTGAAAAGTAACAAAAGAAAACCAAATGTTTTAATATTATAGTCCATCAGGTTTATATCGATATTGTTATGTGATCAGGGGACATAATTAATCACATCACAATAATCATTTGACCCGTTTAGATTCCTTTAGTTTCTAAAAAGAAAGGTGTGCAGTACGGCTTAAAATCAATTAAAAGAAAATGTATAACATGTTTATGTTAAGGAAATATAGATTAGAAATAAATATATATAATATGGGCTTTTGTTTTACAATTAAAATATCTATATTAAAAAAAAGTGTGTTGCCTATAGAATAATATGTTTTGACAAAAAATATTCAAAACTATTAAATAACTATCAACTTAAATCACTTAAGTATATTCATATTACAAAATTTATCATAAATTGTGACTTAAAACAATAAAAAAGATTTTTCACAAATTCATATAACATTTTGTTAACAATAGAATCTAACCTAAACTAAATTACTGAATACTTCTTAAATACTATATTTACAACAAGTCCTACTATGGTAGCTGGTTTCACCCACGCGACGCACATCTGAGATCCATATTACAAAATAAACTTAAGTACTAAACAAGGTGACACCACGAGAGCACGACTATCACAGATAGGACTTAAACTTGAAGGATCTGACCACAACGACTAAAGCAATGGACAGCTCGAAAATTTACTGTACTATTAAGCAAGAAAAATTCAACCACAAACAACGATATGATTTTAGTGCAATGCGGCACTTCCCTTTATGATGGTCCAAAATATGAACTATAGAACCTAAAAAAAAGGATAAAGGATAATGGAAAAAGCAACTGAAGTTTTAGAAATGAAATACAATAATGATATTTATAAATTTATTATTTTCTGCCACAATACTACTGAAAAAACGCTAAATCAAGAAATTTTAAACTGGAGGACAAAATCAAAATTCACCGAAAAATTACCATAAACATAATTAAGACGAAAAAACACCGTAATTACAGCTAACTTAATTAATGTTATCAAACTTTTTCAATGCCCGAGGACATGTGATACCGGCCGTAAGAGAGAGACAGAATGGCGGATAAGGCGAAAGTGCTACCAACTTACCAATACTAGCCCGCCAAACAGCTCTAATTTGAATTTTGCGCTTCGCGCGAACAATCATCATTTATAAAAAAAAAACGTCTTCTAATTTTATCTTTTCGTAGACATTAATTTTTCTTAATGGGGAATAGTTCGTTAAAAACACCCCTTTACCAAGGCGTTAAATATCAACCCCAAACTTCGCCGCCAAACCCTCACAAAACCATTTTTCCGCGTTCAATGTAGTGAACAACGTCGCCAATTGCGTATTTTGCTTTGATGTGACGGGTGGCGGTGATATGTTTGTGTTGGTGATTCGTTGTTCAAGCTCTAAACGGTCGTCGTTAATAGCAGCGGGTGCTACGGGTTGTATCCGCTGAAGTAGCCAGTCACCCGATTTTTTACCTTCCCTACCTAAGACGAGAACGGACGGCGTGTATTCAGTGATCTCGTTACGCCTTTTATGTAGGGCGAACAACAAAGGTGGTAGTTTTGTGTTCCAAGATGTATGACTTGACTTAGTTAATAAAGCAAGGAGTCCTTTCCTTAGCTCTTAGTTTTTGCGTTCTACTGGGTTAGCACGTCGGTGGTATGTTGGTGTAGTCCTAGGCCTCTGCCCCCGCCGATTCATCGCATCGATCATTTCTTTGGACACGAGCACACGGCCATTGTCGCTTAAAATTACTCGCGCGTAACTATAGGGTACGGTTGGGTCTACTTGCTAAACCAGTCCGTTACTACTAATAAGTTCGTCTTGCCCCTTGGTGTTTTGGGGTACGGTCCCATCATGTCAATACCGATTACTTCCTACGGCTGTCTGGGATAGCGCGTCAAAATCGGGGAGCTTAATTAAGGGCTTAGTGAACCCGCAAATATGGCACAATTTTAAGTACATGTACACGGCGTTTCTTAACCGTTTACAGTAAAACCGTTGTTTTCCTATTAATATTCTTTTTACATCACATTATTCAACACCCTGTATATTGAATGCATCGAATCGTTTCTTATTATAGAGATTTTAATCATGGTCAGATTAAATCTATACTGGACCCAACTATGCCACGTCCTCACTGTATTTATAAAATAACGTAACAAATCTTCTCAAAAAGAGGAAACGAACACTCAAAGTGGATCTCAACCATCAAGTAAAACAAGAAAAACAAAATTAAAAAAAAAAAAAAACAAAACAAAACAAATTGAAAAGAAATCAATCAAATAAACATTATGAAATCATACAAAAGTATTCTAAAGAATTGAAAAAAAATCAAAATTTAAAATAGTCTCCATTTTAAGAATGATGTGATCACAACGATGTGATTTATTAAAATCTTTAGATTTATCCGACAAAATATTCATCAGCTTTCAAGCTGGAAATTTAAATTTGTATTTTTTGGTAAAGAAATTTGAACTGAACCCGTGATAAAATTCAAATGTTCAAATTTTTTACCAGAGAGAAATTCAAAAAAAGTATACAAGTCTAAAACAACAAAATTATAATTGGCTTGGCAAGTACAACGACTGAAGCATAGGGGTATTGTTATAATGTTAAAATCAGTTTATGAAACATTAAGTTCAATGAGAAAAATAAAGTAATAAAATTAAAAATAGGTCAGTTCGTTACTTGTTTAAAAGTAACTAAGAAATTAAATCAGGACTAACCATGTCAAATCAAATGACGAATGAAAAAAAAAACAAAATTAAACCGAGATAAGTCAACGTTATAACTTAATTTTTTATAGCTATAGACATTTTAGATAGACAGAAATAAACTAATATTATTGTTTATTATTCATATACTTAAAAGTGAATAATTAAGAATTGATGAGCATAAAAATAATTTAAAAAAACGGTAGCACAGTGGAGTCGAGGCACAGTGTAGACAAGGCATAGATGATATTTCACCGTGATTAAAATCACTATCATAAGAAACGCTTCGATGCAAATCTGNTGACAGTGATTAAAATCACTATCATAAGAAACGCTTCGATGCAAATCTGTAGATAGTGTTTCATTTAGAGAAATTGGTGGATTATTCTAAAAGCAACATCAACTCTTATTTCTTTGATTATATCCTAATTAGTAGTTCTTTGATTTTAAAATATAATATATGAATAAATACTAATTATAATTATTAAATTTAATATGAAAATAAAAAATTAAAAAAATTTAATAAGTTTAATTTCTTATGTCTTATGACCTTTATTCTATGTCAATTAAATTATATAATATTCATGAAAGTCAATATATTCTCCTAATAAGATATTTTAAAATAAAATAAAATACAAAATCTAGAATTTTAATAGAAAAATAGCATATTTTTGAATACAGTAGCCATTTGCGCATAGAAGATAGATCGTCGGGACAAATTTTTTTTGTAGCACATAAAATAAGCTTTAATTTGATATATGTTTAAAGTACGCAGTATTTCCGGAACATTTTCAAAAATTAAGTTAAAAAAGTTAGTTTTTGTAAAAAAAGTTGCTATTTTAAATCCCACCTAATGAGCAGGTTAAATGTTAAATTTTCAACAAAATAATATCAAACAAAAGGAAAATATCTAAGGTTTTATTATAAAAAAAAATTATGTTGATTTGTTGATTTTTCAAAAAGTTATGGAAGTTTTAAAAAAAAAAGTGAAAAAAAATGACAAAATTTACCGTTTTTTAAATTGGTAATTTTTTTGGATATTTCCCCCATTTTCGGGGAACGAGGGAATTTTTTTCAATTTTTAAGGGTAATGTCTCCAACTAGATACGATTTTTGATCTTTTGACGTACTATTGAAAGAAATCGGTCCAGTGAGAGCTGAGAAAAAATGGCAACAGACATAAAAAAAAAAA